ACATTAACCAATAACAAACTAACTGTAGTGGAGTGTTCCAGTTTTTTATATTACTATGACTTCTCCAGATCCAAGACCCCTGAGCTGGACCACCCACCCAACCCTAAATATAACTTTAATGTTAGCCCAAACTAAGACCACTAGTTTAAAGTCTTATGTCTTTCTTCTAACATGACCAAAGTCACCAAGAAGGCTAATATGTTTTCATAAAATACTAAACTTAGAATTCTGCACCTCCACACAGATTGCATTGAAAACAAAAGACCACTTAAAATGTGGATTGTTGATGTCTACAGCTGTTTCAGCAGTATTTTACTGGTTGCGCATAAATTCCTTAAACTCTCTATAAAATGGTTGACAAAGTTTAATTTGTCTCATTAAAATGTCTCCTGAAAGAAACACAGATATTTGGAAGCTGCCATACTTCCAAAAGTTGGACTTTCTGATAATCAGCTCCAACTGGGTGGTAGTGGTGATGATTGTACACACAATGGATCGATGTTCCTAAATGTGAAATGACTCCTCAACATTTTTTAAATCATCATCTAAAAAATAGCAATACTGTGACCTTACTGTCAGAATTTTGTGTAATTTCCATACAAAGCATGGCAGATTTAAAAATGCTAAATTGATTGATTGAAGATGTAGGGACTCCTAAGTCTAGCTGATCATCTCGTAACAAGGCCTGCCTCTGTGTCAAAGTGGAGGAATGGGATAATTTAAGCTTTGGATAATCTGTAAGAACCTAATATTGTCTGGCATTCATCTAAAGGCAGAGTTGCTAAAGCATCCAGTTTGCTTTTGGGGGTGTATCTGTGATGGCTGCCTTCCATGACTTCACTGAAACCTTGTCCGTCACTGTGAACTGATATTTATTTGTGCGGCGCTGTTGGGGGTTGGGGCTTTGAGGCAGCCTGTAACGAGAGCACTTAAAGGACCGTGCTGTTTGCAGGTCAACCAGCCGCAGTACACCCAGAGGAAATCTCATGTTCCTGCCAGTCTACAAAAGTAAACAAATCTGTAACCACCAAATACTGGCACCGAACCTGATCTGGCTGCAACTGGACAAACGAGTCTCGTAACGCAACTTACCGCTAAAAGAAAAGGTGCGCAACAAATCTCAAGCTGAGAACTTTGAACGTTTGCCCTGTCTTGTAGTGAGAAATCATTCCCGTTAAACTTCTGTGTAACCGCAACACACTCACAAAGTGACATGACGCACATGCTTTCCATAAGCTGTGGAGAAAAACTCGCCTAATTTTTTTTAACGTGTCTGCCCAGAAATCTCCCGCCTCATTCGGTGTGTCAGATAACATCTTTTAGCCGTGGGGTTCTTCAACCTCCCTTCTCTTTTATGTTCCCCTTCCTTTCCCTCTCTGTTTCTCTCCTGTTTTCCCCGTTCTAGCTTTCTCCCCTGTCTACACATCTGTGGTTATTTATCTGTTATTTTGTGGCAGCAATGTGGTCAACATGTGTCTGGCTTCCYCTTCACTCACTTCTCATCTGCAGTYGACTTAAGAACCACACATCGTCCCACAAATCATTTAACGGCGAAGACGGCATAGGGACAGACAGATGGGCCCATTATTAGCATCCCCCTGTCTTTTTGAATGACATTTGTATATCATTATTTGTGTCCCACTTCCTGGGGTAGTGTGTCATTGTCAGTGCATTCACTCCTTTTCCTGTAGGTCAAAGAGTACAAGAGGAGAATAGATGTCATGACCGACTACAATTAAGATTATGAGAGCTCTATATGGATTGCCTAAGCCTTTGGATTTGCATTGCTCTGAACTTTGAACCTTTAATCTCAATGTTATTTAATCTGCTGGAAAGACTATAGGCTCAGAAAAACACAGTGGCCACCATAGATCAACCTCGAAACCAYAGTAATAGTGAAGGTACAAGGGAGCTTTATAGGCTTTATATTTAACAGCTGTTTTATCTGCCATATCATTTGCATCCTTTTGATATCTGACCTTTCTTTTCCAGCACTTAAAGTTATATTTCAGATCTTTTGAAGTGAAATTTTGTGGAAGAATTGTAAAGAATAATATTTTACTAATAGTAGACTGGTCTATGAACAAGAAATAGGGTTTAATTTTTATCAGACTAATAAGCTAATGAGTTTCATCTGAGCGGGACCAAGTCCAAAGTTGGATTTCTGACATTTCAAAACAAGTCCAATCAACTTGGGATAATCCATTAATCCATCCACCTTTACCCAGTTTCCTTTCTGGGATTGTTGGTGTCTATCTCCAATAGTCACTGTTTGGGGGCGGGTACACCCTGGACAGGTCACGAGTCCATCACAGGAACACATGGTCTTTTTCCATTGACTTGACTCAGCTCTACTCGGGTCCACTCAAAGATTCTTCAGAGTCTTTCCATCGGGTGTTCCCACTTGCTTCCAGCTTGGGTCTTAGGACCTGCTCAATGAGGTTCCATGTGAGCCARTATGAGCTGAACCTTTGACATCAGCAGATTGCAGGTCACTGATTGGACAGAAAGCAACATCAACCATGAGAGCATCTCCTTCACAAGAATCAGACGTACCATTTTTAAAACCTTGCAGTTRCAATTACTTTTTTAAAATAGATATGATATATCCAATAAAACTGCAACACAGAGACCAACATGGTAGTAATCCGAGGAGGTGCAGACAATTCTGTGATTGTTGGCCAACAACAGAATTCAGAGGGAGCTATAGACCAAATAGAGTCAATTTATGCTCCAACTGGCAGAGGGAAAGTGGCCTTGACTCGATCATGGCATTTTTGGAAACCGTGGGAGAGGACAGTGAGTGTTTTGTGACATTTTGTTGTGTTTGCCTAGGATTGAAAATAACATTGCGGAAGTTTTGGGCGGCTGCGCTATGATGATCTGCCCACATCGAGACAGCATTCAGGTTATATTAAACCACTGAGACCATGTATGCCTGCGTAAAGTCAAAGCGAGTTGTGGTAAGACTGGGCAATGGGRAAATGGCTTTAGAGACAAACAACCACTCACTGTCACTCACACTTAAGGACAATTTAAAGTTGCAAATAAATCTAACATGCATGTTTTTGGTCCATGAGTGGAAAATGAAGTTACCTTGAAATAATTCCCAATTTATCCCTCTATTTTTAAAAATGTCAATCCTTGTGTTGGAATGGAGAAACCTAAAACAGGAGAGTGATCCTCGAGGACCAGGATTGGACAATTTTATAGTTGCTATTGTAGCAAAAATGCCGGTGCTTGTTTTACACCCACAGTGTTAATTTCAACACCAACAAAGTGTTCATATGTGTCCACACTTGCTGTTGTTAAAATAACGTTTGTGAAAGTGTTAAATTTAAACACTTTTTTTGTTAATTTAACAGCAACCGCTGTTTAATATTCAATAAAACTGGGTGTCACATTAACACAAAAATTGTACTAGTGTTAAAATATAGTGTTACTTTTAACACTATATTTTAACATTRTTGAAATGTGAATGTGACAGCCAATACTGTTGAATATTAAACTTTGGCTGGAGTTACTTTTAACACCAGTATATTATTAYTRACAAWGGWAATTAAAGTGTTMAAAAGTTTAWCATACACCACAAGGTTTCAATATGCAATGTAGTTGARTGTAAATTTAACACTCAGAGTTAATATYAYACTCTTTGYTYTCAGTAGTTGRTAGAAAAATRCAATGGAGTCAACCTTCACACACCAGGACATACCTCTCACTCATGGTGTCCATTTATGGCCAATAACATAAATTTAAACTTGAACAACTTGATCGAACTGAACAAGAAAATTAACCAGAACAACTATTTTTTCCTATCATGAACTTCTTTAATAGTCATAAACATGGAAACACATCATTTCTACAAGATTACCCAGCATTCCTTGCTGAGAAAATACTGGTCTGTCTGACATGAGATGGAATTAGGCGGGGCTTTTAAGAATACTTCCTTCAATACTGCATGATGTTATATAACAACACTGTTAAGGGTCGTATAACACTAACAGTGGTTGGAGGTTATTTAACACTGTCCAGTGTTGAGACAACACAGAGGAATTCAACACTGTGAATTAACACCAACAATGGGTGTCRGTTTACAAAGTGTTAAAATAACACTAGGGGTGTTCTGGTGCAGCCTGGGGCACTTCCAGCAGGAATATCKTAAAATTTGTTCCAAAATAATAACGTGACAGGAAACTGACAGTAATCAAAGGTCCGTAAATAGTTTTAGCACCAATCACTGACATTTTGGTAGCATTTTTTGTGACTGCAGCAATCCAGTTTCTTGGTGCAGTCACTCTGAGTAGCCGATGGCGTGACAAAGTGATGTAATCCAAAAACCTTTATACAAGATTGCATATCTTTTCGACAGAACCTTGAAAAAATCAAAACAATTCCTGTCAAATAAAAATGAGTTTTCAGACACGATTTTCCTTGCCTGATAATTTCACTGAAAAACACGTTTGTCAAACACAAAGGCAGATTCGTGAATCGCCACAAATGTGCTCGCAACATGTTTCCGATGCATGCAAACTGTTGCTTGTTTACACAGAAAAAGCCTGTGTAGTTTTAGACTCGCACGAGTCTGTTTTTACACTGTTGAATCACTGCCCTCGCTGCTAACATGTGAAGGAAGCAGTGCTGCCATTGCTAGTTAGACATGGAAAGTTTTGTTTAGAAGAGTGACATTGCAGGCACCGTTCTCATTACTTCTCATCAGAGTGGGCACTAACTCACAAACCCACATTGGTAGAATACAAAGCAGTTTCCATCAGCTTTGGATAGGACTCGCAGCATTAACCAGGGACATTCCTTTGACTGTCTGACTTTGTATTTCATCATTAAAACRCTTTTTAAGCTAAATAAATAGTGCTTAAAGGAGTTAAGATGGGAAACTATACTTATTTGCCATATTTTTGAAAGTTGAGTGAAAATGTTTTTACTGCTTTGCTTAGCAGATTGTATCTCAACTATGGAAAAAGAAGCGACACATTAACAAATCAGCTGATGAATGCAAACTCTTTATATATATATATATACTTTTCAGTATATAACAAACCAACACAAAATGAAATACAGACACCTGTTGTTGCTACACGAAGCAACATAAGGCAAGTTATTTCCCTTTGTTGAAAGGTGCCTTCATTTTACATTTAATTAGTGCACCACATTGAGGACAGTCATTTCAAAGCTTCAGCAAACTTTAAAAAAAGAAAGACCAGACAAATAAATACTGTACAACACCATATATGTAATACTATTCAGAAGTCACAAAACAAACATGCTTTTCTTGACACTTGCAAGGATATTTATGCACCTTTGTGTAAGAACGGAGCATTTCCTGTGAGCTGACCTTCACAATAATACTGTCATCAAGGAATGGCAAAAATAAAGTGCCTTATTTTGAAAAACTGGATATTTCAAAGCCCAGCTGCATGTGTGCTTCGTGAGGCAAAACTGAGATGCAGATATTCAAAGAAAAGGACTGGATACAAAAGACATGTTCTGGAGTCAACATTTAAAGTGATATTTTTCTAAACCACCTGATGTATGAGGCTCTTTAAACGGCCTAAGTTTGAAGAATAAAGTCTGGTTCTGATCTGACTGATCAGCTAACAACTAAGCTAACAGCTAAGCTAATGTCCAAACAACCAAAACCAAAGTGGATATCTAGTTTTTTTTAATAGCTCCAATCTCATACATTTCATAGCAGCAATGCCATATTTTATAAATCTTTCAATTACCTTCACTTTCAATTTACACAGTAATTTAAACAGAATTCTCTAGTTATTTGCAAGTGAAATTGTGGCAGCTGCATCTAGCTATAGCACTATTGCAGCCAGGGATCTAATCCATTCGGGGATTAAAATATATACCAAATAATGTAAAATGTAATGTGGTTAAAATGTTAAAAATATAGGTTTTGCAGGAACTGTTCAAGCTAATATGATAGAATTGTGTAAAGTTGTAGAACTGCAGTAATCAGCACAAAGGTTGATTTATAAATAATTAAATTATCCTGCGTGATTAATCAGAACATGGTGGGCATGTTTAGGCAGAAAAGTGGGTGAATTACTCTGCTCTGATATTACTTCAACTTCTCTTCTGAGGAGAAAACACAGTCATCTTTACAAATGTCAAACATGTCAAGCTGTATGGATTGTCCGTTAATTACACAAAATTCCCGCCCATTTTGCAGGTATACAGAAGAATAGGGCAATCTCATGGAATTTTTCAAAAACTCAGCTTCAAATTTATTATGTCTCAGAGCTTGTAGGGCGTAAAAATAAACAATAAATAAAATTAAACAACCATGTCCCAGCTTACAACTTTGCTGCTAGAAATAAGTCCGCCACCTTTGCCCCGCCCACCCCCATTTTTTTGTAAAAACTATGAATTTTTGAGAGTCAAGATGCAGCTAAAAGTTCGAAGGGGTTGACATGTATGTAATGTTCCAACAAAATTTAAAAATATAGTCAAATAAATTGTATAAAGTTAATAAACTCATTGGAGATAGCACTATGTTTGTGCACATATGAGACAGCGTGGAGACACAGGCGTCTCTGTGGCTGTGCTGGCAGGGAGGGAACTGAGTAAGTTCAAAGAGTTACTGTACATATTAACTTTTCTATAGAACCCCATTTTAAAATAGCCAAAAAAAACTTTTTAAGTAAAGAGTTTTAGGTGAAAATTTTTAGATGTATTAACATTTCTGTTATTCACTTTACCTAATGGCTAAAGCTTGAAATATTCTGTAGAACAAGCACGTTTCTGCTGCCAGTGCCAATACGTGCCCAGCTAAGGTACCAAATAAATGTTAATAAATAGACTTTATATTCAAGGAGAAATATGTCTTTTCTATCCAATCAATTTCTGTGCATAAACAGCTTGAAAGCAACATGTTTCTATCTCACACACTGTATCAACAACTGCTCAGGTAGGAGGGTTCCAACAGCGTTCATCACTTCCAATTTATCTTACAACTCCAAAAGAAGGGTGAAAACCAAAACAACTGGACTTTTATCTTGTTTACGTGGCTCACAAAAGAGATATTTTGGTCACATGTCTGAAGGTGTGTATTAGAGTGAAAATGGAAAGTTTTAGAGCTCAGAAATATGAGACCTTTAAAGTTTTTTTCTCATTTGACGAAAATGGCTTCCCTCTAAAACCACCTGTCACATGCGTCTAATATATGAGCATCTTGGTCTTCAAAACGAGTGTCTCTTATCTTCAAGGTGTATGTGCACATCTGAGTTTTGTCCTGAAGAGGTGATCTCCTATGCTGAGCCTAGTCTGTGGAGAGGCTGTTGAGTTTCTCCAATGTAGAGGTCTGAATGTTCCTGAACTGCTGATACCACTCCTCTCAGTTTGTTTCTTAAAATGGACCAGCTTCTGTCTGAGAGTCTCATTAGGTTTGAAATAGATCTGGATGTCGTGTTTGAAGAAAACCCTTCTGAGTTTCTCAGATATCCCAGCAGTATATGGGTTGGAAATGTTTTTGCCTTTGTTTTTCCCCCTGTTTTGTTTTGTGTCGTGTTGTTTAGATTTTCTCACCGACTTTGACAAATGCCCAGTTAGGATGTTAGTAGTTTAGTTTATACACTTCCACTCATCTTTCCTCACTTTGTACAGACTCAGATGTGCTCTGCTGACAAGGTAAATGAACAAATTTGTTTGTCACAGTCTGTTACTCCCCCTGAGAACGCCATCTACGATTAAAAAAAAAAAATCACTGTGAAACTGAGTCTTTGCCTACATCTGCTCTGTAGAGACGTGGAGGCTGGATTAAAACTGGCACCAACACTCGGATGTTTATCTCTTTGGCACCCAGATCATACGTTTTCCTGGCTTTGAAAGAAAATGCGCAGAAACACATGAAATCAAATTGTGTGGCGAAACTTTTGAAATCTAACACTGTTTCTACGTATCATTACCCCCTAATTAGTATTTTTTAACTATTTTTTTAAAGCATGTCTGGTAAGGCACAACAGAACATTACAAGTCCCCCTGCCTCAGTTTAATGATGGAGAGGGCTGGCTGAATGTCCAGCAAAGAGAAATTACCGTACTTATAATGTAGCAGCTTTGTTTGGATGTTGATCCCCTGGATTCTGTTCAACCCAAACTCACAAAATACTTCCTACTTTACAACTGATAGGAGACCTCATTGGGATGTAAACCACATGTTGTTATTATYGACTACAAACACTTCGGGACATCATAAAGTAAGCTAGTATTGGACATCATGCATACATGCACCCAAGAATGTGTAACAAGCCTAAGAGCCTGACGTAATACCAGATGTGTGAGGAATTGGCAAGCGATGAGACAGCATTACATTTTTTTTCATCCGTTCGTGTACATCAGTTAGTCGAGCCTGACATCAGGACWATGTGCCCATTCCTAAAACTGAAATAATCAGACTGTACCATCGCCATTAAACACACCATCTCAAATATAAATTTCCTCTGAGGTTTTTTTTTTATGCATGCTTGATAGCTGATGTGGAGGTTTAGAGTAAGAGCTAAGAAAGTTTATTGTCTCTGTTCAAATCAGAAGACCCCCGGAGCCTCTCTGACTGAAGGTGAAGAGGTTTTGGCTGTGGCGCCTCAGTACTCCCTGGCCTCTTCGAGTTCATTCATAAACACATCTTCATGGGGGTTTTCTGGGCAGCCCAGTCCATTACTGGGCGGCCGCACCATGTGGAAGCGACTCCAGTCCCCCTTGCACAGGATCCAAGGCAGCACATCCACCTTGAAGTGCAGCTCCTGCGAGAACTCGGTGCTGATCAGGTTAGGCGTGCCCGCACCTTTCCCCCGCGTGATCAGCTGGCCGAAATCATCGTAGCAACAATGCTGCGCCGCCAGTGTGGACGAGTCGCTAGAAAGCGCCGAGCGAATGCAGCTGCGCGCCGACGGCTTGTAGATGTCCAGCCGCTCCTTGGGACCGCTGGCGTCTCGCCAGCGAAACGGGCGGCTGTGAGTCTCGTCGTAGAGGCTGACCACCGTGTACGCCGCTTCTGACGGGTAGGAGCAGGGGCAGCTGGGCAGTTCGGACAAAACCTGATGCAGATAACGCTGGAGGAACTCGCTCTTGCAGTTGAGCCACTTCTCACAGCTGTCCACATCTGTTGGGAAAGAGGACAAAGGAATTAAATTAGTGTCCTAAGAAGTTCACTGCTGATGGAAGGAACAGGTGTTACCATGGAGTCACGTCCAAATCCTGTGTCTGGCATTTATAAACATTTGTAAGCCAATTCTGCATCCCTTGGAACATCAGATTAGCTACATGTGATGATGACTCATTATCTAACAATTCTCATATATCAAGTTTGAAGAAAAAGGTTTTTGTTCAAATGTTTTTAAATGTGGTTTTGTGGAATCCTTATAAGCAAAGATTATCTTTACCTGCTGTAGATCGCTTTTTACGGAGCGTGTGAGGGGACATGGGGGGATTTGTTTCTTTTGCGTTCCCTCGCAATATTGTTTTGCGTTCCCACACAAAAAAATGTTTTGTTTATGAACTGAATTAAATCAGACTTTTATTTTGAAATATCCGCTTACCAAAACAGGATGTCTCGCCACAAGTTTGTGAAATTGACAATGATGTTGCGCGTGGCTGCACTGTATTRAAATATCGCCATATGACATACTTCCATGCATGGCTGTGTGATATATTCATTCTAAAGCTGAATTAAAGCAGTAGGCTAACTCGCTAATGGTGAGCAGGTGAATTTGTCAATAAACCGGCAGGCACAACAGTGTCAAACGACTTTTGCGAGGGAATGCAAAAAGAAAAAAAAATCCCCCATGTCCGTATCTTTTTCATGACCTCACATTGGAGATATATGAATCCCGACCAATCGACAAGTTAAAGGTAGGGATGAGCAAATGAGTTTTAAAGCAAAAACAATCTTCAAATTCTTCTGTAATTTTTTGATTTGTCTTCAAACATTTAGACCTAAGACCTGTTTTCATCCCATTTTTTGTTCAATGGATCAACGTAAAGGGGAGGCACATATGCTGGCAGTGGTCTTGGACGATATTGTGGGTATACCTCTGTATTGAAATATGGTGACGATATTTAAAAATTATGATGATATATTAACCCTCTGGAGTCTAGTCACGTGACCTATTTAAATTTCTCTAGTTGGAAAGACACGCCAATACGTTTCAATTCGTGTCAAAAGTTGAGATTTCAAAGTATACACCCGTTTTTAAATCGTGTTGATAAGCCAAACAAAGTTATGATAAACAGTATCCGCCACTTTTATTTTTTAAACATGATGGTCCTATTTGATGCACGTTGCAGAGGCAGGCAGATGGAAGCACGGTAGTCTTGTGGAAAAAACAGCTTAATCTGCCGTCAGTCTCATCTTTCTCTCAAGCCGAAATGACGTATATTCCACGATCTCCTTTCTGACCGAGGCCCAAAGTTATTTGACAAGTGCCAAAAAACAATTTCCTCCATCTAAACCATAACAAAACTGAACTCCTCCTTGTTGGGGCAAAAAACTCCATTTCCAAATCCCAACATCGTCTCTTCACTCTTAACAACTCCGTTCTTTCCCCCTCGCCTCAGGTCAAGAACCTAGGTGTCATCCTTGACACCACACTTTCTTTCACATCCCACATTAACAACGTGACTCGATCTGCATACTTTCATTTTCACAACATTAACTGTCTCCATCCTTCACTCACTCCCCGCTCCACTGCCATCCTTGTACACAGCCTAGGGATATCCAGGATTGACTACTGCAACTCCCTACTATTTGGCCTCCCCAATAAATCCCTTCACAAACTACAGATGGTTCAGAACTCAGCCGCCCGTGTAATCACTCAGACCTCATCCTCTGCCCACATCACTCCAGTCCTACAACAGCTCCACTGRCTCCCAGTTAAATACTGCATCATCTTCAAAATTCTCCTACATACCTTCAAAGCTATCCACAAACTTTCCCACCTTACCTGTSTGACCTCCTGAACATCTCCACACCCTCCCACTCTCTAAGATCTGCCTCCTCCTTCCAACTCTCAGTACACCCTGCCCACCTCAGCACCATGGGGAGCAGAGCTTTCAGCCGCTCTGCTCCGCAGCTCTGGAACTCACCATCCCATGGATTACACAATACCTCTCTCTCCCTGTTTAAGACTGGCCTGAAGACACATCTTTTCAAATTAGCCTTACCACTGTTAACTCCGATTTTCAATATATGTCCGTTTTTGTTGTCCTCACTTCAATGTTTCTCCCCCACAACCTATTGTTCGATTTGTCTACATTTTTGCATTTTATTATGACTGTTCTGTACTCCACATTTCTGTTTCTCCCACACTACCCTTATCATTGTATGTATCTACAGTTTTTTTTCTTTTTCTATTGTACAGTGTCCTTGGGTGGCCTGAAAGGCGCTTTATAAATAAAATGCATTATTATTATATTGTGCAATTGTTGCCAGCTAGTAAGTGTCAAATTGAACTTGTGCTTTAGAATTAGATTCTGCTAATTTTTCTATGGAATAAGTGTTTTGAAGTTGTGGACCTAAATATTTTCATAAGCGCTTTAGAAATTGCGGAGCTAATTTTTGGATTAGCGCTGCTCACCACTGTCTATAAGCAACGACTTGCTGTACGAGTGTTATTTACAGACAAAATATCAGACTTTTTTTTTACTTTAGTAGACTTAATGGTTAGCTGTAGCACTGAATGAGCAATGATAAACAGCAGATAGAGGACCTGTGTGTGTGTGTGCGTAGGCCTGTCACGATAACAAATTTTGCTGGGCGATTAATTGTCTCAAAATTTATTGCGATAAACGATAATATTGCCTGGTGACCGTTTTACAACTAATAATTATAAAAG